TGCCAATATGGTGACCTCACGGAGAACACAGGCCCGTCCCTTCATAGCATGTCGACATTCAGGGCTCTTTGCTTACTTAGTCTTGGCTCATGCAAGCTTTCTTGGGCTGTGCTTATGTTCCAGTCCACTCCTGGTGCTCCTTCATCCTTCTCTGTTTTATCTTCCTGGTGCTTTCTGCTGTGTTTTACTGTTCCCACAGTGGGAGTCGGGGACATCGGTAGGATGCTGTTCACGTGAGTTATGGTCCCATGATGGATACAGCAAACCTCTGCTCTAACCTCACTCTTTTTTATTTATACACATTAAATGTACCTCTGGACTGACAAGATGGCAAACAGTAAAAGCATTGCTGTAAAAACAAAATATTTACCGTGGCCATGCTCACTGCCACAGTGATGGGGACCCATGGAGTCAGGTCCTTCCTGGGCACAGAATGAATTTCTGCTGATGCTGGCCCCCAGAGCTTCCAGCCCACAGCACATTTTATAGCCTTGCACTCTCCTCATTCTCATTCTCCCTGCTACAGCTCAGCACAGTTACTCCCTCTCTTTAATCAGCAAGTTTTGTTTCTCTTTTCCATGTCTGACACAACCTTCCCCTGGAAAGAAAGGAGCGTTGTTATAGGATAGTTCCTTGGCGTTACAAGGGTGCTAGATTTCAGATGTCAAGGGAAGGACTTGGGGCCTCTCGGCTGAGCTTAATATAGTATACATTGTGAAGTTCACCCAGTATATCTGCCTGGAGGGAAACGTAAAGACTATTTTCTAAATAACACTCCTAGTCAACATGTTAATTGTGAAGTGCAGTTTTAGGACTAACACATGGACTAAAACACGAGTCTTTGTCTTCTAAACATCACCATAGAGTCATTTAAGCTCTCATCAATGAGCATGTCATTGGTGTTGGATTGGCTCCTGGGAGTGTCAGGGTACCACAGATGGACCAGATCTCACAATGGAGACATTTTATGAGATCATCAAAGCTGTTGAAAGACAATGCAGCTTCCTCCGTCTCCAAGAACAGAGCTTGACAGTAACATCTCAGAACAGATGTTTCCACAGCCTCCACATGTTTTTATTTGGTGGCACAAAAGACTGTGTTATTCATGAAATGGTCTGTTAGAGAATTAGTTCCCCTGTGTGGGGGTCGTGGGAATATGTGTTGTATAAATTGATTTTTCTTTTGGCAGGAGACTTGCCCTTAACTCATCCAGTCTGCGAGACTGGGTTCTAACAAGTTCCAATTTTCAGGCCACAGAGTCACAGAGGATATAGATTAATGACATACCCCAGCATCTCCCTAGAGTATGTCAGGCTAGTCAGACACCTTCATATCATTTATAAAATAGGAGAAGCCATGTAAAAATTACAGAACTCTGGTCTTGTAAATCACAGGCAGAAGGTGGAGGCATCCTGTGGCTGGCTGTTTACATCGTCATCCCAATACAAGTTCATTTCTACAGCTTACGGATATTGACTTTAGATACCCATTTAAAGGAAAACTGGCATTCTGAGATACTGGCGGCATAGAACATGTTTCACGTTCTCCTGAGACCTTGGTGTGATTATTCAGTGATGTAGAATAAGAGGGCTGGTCATTTTCATTCTGATGTCTTATTTTGTGAGTTATCCTGGTCTGTACTTTCTACTCTGTCCAGCAGGACAGACGTCATCTGACCCAAGGGCCATCTCTGACCTTTCATCTGCTTTTGTAAGTGTGGCCTGTTGGGATCCCAGCTGCTCTCGTGGATCGTAAATTTTCTGTGGCTGCTTTTGCATTCTGTCACCAGAGGCCACTTAGCTAGTGAAACCTAAAATATTGACAGAAAAGTGTGCCAACCCCTGCAATAGGAAGTCACATACACACTATGACTCAGCCCATGAAGAAGACATTTGATCCTAACACTCGGGTCACTGAGGCAAAGGATCACAGGGCCAGCCTAGACTATACAGCAAGACCCTGCTTCAAAAATAAGACTGAAGAAGAAAAGAAGGCACATGTAAGGTGTGTTGTTGTTGTTGTTTTGAGACAGGGTTTCTCTGTAGCTTTGGGCCTTTCCTGGAGCTTACTATGAAACCCAGACTGGCCTCAAACTCACAGAGATCTGCCTGCCTCTGCCTCCCGAGTGCTGGGATTAAAGGCGTGCGCCACCACCATCTGGCACATGTAAGGTTTTAGTAATTTAGATTTTGAAGTTATTTGGAGACAATGAGAACTGTAAATAATTGGTGTTAAATAATCTGTCACAGGAGAGTAATTAAAACATACAGAGACAAACATGAAAATCAGAATATTACAAAATGATCTGAAGAGCATTCTGAAATGAAAATAATCTTTTTCTAATGTATAGTATGTTCAGATGTTAAAGCTGTGTGTTATTTGGCTGCTGCTGTGTTTGTTTCTTCTCTTTCATATGTGTGTGTTCGGTCTCAGAACTCCACACGTGTGCATTTCCGGCCTTCCTGAACAATGAGTGGCAAGCACAGGCAAGGCTGTGGTGTTTAGATGTTAAATTATACTTGAGAAGATTAATTGTACAAAATCATGGGCACCATAGAAAAATGACTCGAGAACGCCTGAAGAACAAGGGCTGTGTTGGGAGAGACATGAATGGGGGGAGTTACATGAGGAAGCCAAGAGCTAGGCCTGTGGCCCAGCAGAGCAGCTCCTGCCTGCGTGCACACACACCAGATTCCGTTCCCAAAACCGTAAGGAAGGAAAGACGACCGAGGATTGCCCAGCACGCAGGCAATTAACTTCCAGAAACACATACACACAACCATTGTACAAAACACAATGTTAGGTTCCATGGCAAGCAGGGAGAAGACGGGGGGGGGGGGAGGGAGGGAGGAAGGAAGGGAGGAAGGAGGGAGGGAAATATTGATTGTAAACCTTCTTATTTCATGAGCAGAAAAGTCTCCTTTGTCAAAATCTAGAACACACATAGGATTGAAGAGATTTAGTGCAGACACTAAGGGGACAGCTCAGTTGGTGGGGTGCTTGGAGGACCTGAGCTCAGTCCCAGACCCACAGAACAAGACCGGATAAAATGGGGCATGCTTGTAACTTCCCAGTGCTGGGAAGCAGAGACAAGGGCTTGCTGGCCTCCTGGTGAGGCCCGTGGCACAGTGAGAGATCCTATGCCAGACAAGGTGGGTAGTACCAGAAGACACCTGAGGATCTACACACACACACACACACGCGCACACACACGCACAGGCACACGCACACACACACACACATGCGCGCACGCGCGCACACACACACACACGTACACACACACACACGCACGCGCACACACACACACACGCACGTACAAAAAGAGCAGGAAATAACTCTGTGACGTTTTTATTCAGTCTAGGTCTATTGACTTAAACCAAATCTGTTAAAACTGATTTCCTTTTTTCCCTTTTGCTTTTTGTTAGTGTGGCTACTACAAAAATATACATAACTCGGTTTGAGCAGCTGCTAGCCACTTACCGGGAGTTCGGGATGCATACAAGTCTCACCTCATTTTAGGAAAAGCTTCATAAAACACTAATCGCAAATTAAACTCTAACGATAGACTTGAACAGGTGACATTTACAGATTTTCATGAAACTTTCCTGATAGATAGCTTGAATCACCTTCAGCATCCAAATCTGTAATTCCTTATGCATATAATAAATTACAAAATATAAATCACCATTGTAGGTAGTTGGGAATGTTGGCAGATGCCTTAAGTCTGTGTCAGATGTTCCCTGGAGACAAGTGAATATACAGTCTAACTCCCACAGACAACTGCTTTGGTCCCCTCGCTCATCCCGGAACACAGAGAGATTGTCCATCTCAGCTGGAAAGATGCTTTCAAGTGTCTATCTAATCTGTTCCTTGGCTAGGCTGGCTCCTGAAAGGTAATTTTTGTGCTTGCCTAGAGTATCCCAGGGATGCGCTTTAAGTAGGCCACTCTCCTTTGTTAGCTTTTGAACTAATTCCCTCCAGAGTCAAAACTTCGCCCGCGTCAGAGCCATCGATCCCACGGCATCTTCACTGCCTGTCTGCCTTCCCACCTCGAGCTTTGGCGTCTTCCCCAACCTCGAGGCCCACGAGCAGCGTCGGCTTCACCCCTTGCGTCTATCCCGAGTCCTTCCTCCTCCTCACTTCTCATACTCACGGGCAGCTTCACGGCAGTGGCAGAATCTGAATCCGAATCTCTTCCCATTCTGTGCCTGTGTCCCCGACCTTGCGTTGTGCCCTCTGACTTCTCTTTTAATTCTCAGCCAGGAGCCTCCAGGGGTGATTGGATGTTGCCGGGCAGTCCCACTGCATCCTAAGTCCTCGGTGGGCACTTGACAGTCTTCTCTCTTTTTACCTCCAACACCTCCTCTTTCAACCTCGCTCTCAGCTCATTCCTTCTCCCCAACTCCAGCTGGAAGACTTGACTCAGGAAAGGGAGCTAAGTCCATCTCACACTGCTGCCCCTGCTGAAGGTGGGTGGCGGTGCCTTGTCTGGGGCGGCTCCTCCTTTTGCTGTCAGATGCTGCGTCGGAGCTACACACCAGCCCTGATTTTATTCTGTTCTAAAGATTAATTTCAAAAGGTTAGTTCTACATGGTCCAGGGCCCTAGTTTTAGAAAATAATTTTAAAACTAAATGACAAGAAAGTTTACTGCTACAAACAAAATGAGCTACTGTTGTTTATAGCAGGCTATGTTTTCCCTTGGAGATCTAATGGCAGCAAGCATCCATTCACGGTAATTTTAGAGCCCTGATAGTAAACCCTGAATCTGAACAGAAAAAAAAAATAAAATACAGTTTGTTTTCATTTTCACACTGATTTTCAATATTTACATAGATTCTAGTTTAACCAAATCTTCGGACGTGATCATCCTTTTTAGTGTGATACCGAATAACAATCTACAGCAGAGAAGAGCTGGCCTAAAAGTAGAGGATGTTGTCGCCACGGTGACAGCTGTCCAGCATAAACATCTTACATCTCTTCTGCTTATTGTGTGTTTTAGGACAATTCAAGCTGCTGGAACAAGACCGGGATATAAAGGAGCCGGTGCAATATTTCAACAGCGTGGAGGAAGTGGCCAAAGCATTTCCTGAACGTGTGTACGTCATGGAGGAAATTACATTCAACGTGAAGGTAGCTCTGAAGAACCAGATATTTACCCCTCACCGAGACGCTGTAACATTCAAGTGTGTAGTACACTGTGTGCACATCTGTGCCTCCTAGGAACATTCCATCCTCTCAGTGGGTGAATGCTAGCACCTGAAACACTACAGAGGGTAGAGATGACCGAACGCCTGTCCACACACTGTATTTATTACCACAGTCTTTTATTAGAACTTAAAACTATTAATTTCAGAAGTAAAAATGCTTGTTTATTTTCCTCATGGCTGAGACAGATACCAACAAAAAGCAATTTAAAGAAAGAGGGACTTATTTTGGCTCACAGTTTGAGGGGACAGTCCCATCAGAGTGAGGAAATCAGGGCAGCAGGAAGGAGTTCAAGGCAGCAGGCCTCATTACAACACAGTCAGGGTGCAGACAGAGCGATGACTTCCCATGCTCAGCTCACTTTCTTCTTTTTATTCGGTCTGGGATCCCAGCCTATGGATTAACTGAAGTTAATCCGATGTAGAAACTCCCTCATGGACAAGCCCAGAGTCTTGTCTCCTAGCTGGTTCTTATCCTGTCATATTCATAGTCAATATTAAGCATCACAATTCCTAAGAAAATAAAAGATGTTTTTAACTTGAACCTCATCCTCCCACAGCTGTTTGACCAGAGCCTCCGATAAGCTGGGTTTTGCACTCTTGGAAGCAAAAGACCTGTGATGAACCAAATATCAACACTTCATTTTTTTAAAGGAAACCAAGGGGGAACAGGAGAGCTCACAAGCACACTCCCAGTACCTGCACCAAGACCAGCACACATCCCCTCCGTTCTCTGTGGACTATTTCAGTGAACAGAGAAATCTGATGTTCAGAATCCTGCCCAAGACAGCCTACGGTTGGCCATGCTTCCTTCACCTATCGGTCTCAGAAGGATGGTGTGCTTCCATATATGAGCTAGCTCCTCTGGCCAGACGTGCTAGAACAGCAGAGCCCTCACACGTGGGATCTAACTGTACTGTTTACACACCTGCTCCATTTTGTCATCAACCCCCACAGTCAGGCCCAAACACCTTCAAGTGTCCGCGTTGAAAGGATTTCCTGTTTACTTATTTTACACAGGAAGTCAACTAAGTCAGATTCTGTGAGCAGGTCAAAAGTTAGGAGTCAGCATACCTGTTTCTTAGAACAGCAGGCTGCATGAGGTGTTGGCCCAAGACAGCGACTGTGTCTCTGTGAGTGAGTCACGCCACCCACACTCTTCAGGAAACAGAGGACCGGGGAGCTCCCAACCAAACTAGAGGTTCTGCCCGTGACGATGTCAGGGACATGCCATTCTTCCCCACTTCTAAAGACAGTCACTGCTTTCTGTGGTTTACTATTCGACTTCGTGAGATTTTATGCTGTGGGAAATCTTCTACTGAATATGGTTGACTTATATACGAAAAGTCTGGTTTTTGGTTTTGGTTTTTGTTTTGTTTTTCAGTTCCTGCGGTGTCCCTGTGTATGAGCCATCAATAGAGCAAACCTTCATCTCCACGTTCATAAGAGCATATTCTTTGTTTTTAAACTTATTAAGATTCACTAATTCATAAACTATTGAAGCTAGGGTTTTGCATTGGTTGATTTTGTTTTTGAAGTTTTGTGGAGTTGGAGATTAAACTGGGGCTCTAAGCACACCAGTTGAATGTTGCCACTGAACTGCCTCGGGAAGCTGACCTTGACTTCCTGCATGTTTTAATAAGTCTAAACCTTCCCCTTAAAACCTTTATTTAAAATTAGCTAAATGAAAAAATAAAAGTCAGGCTAACACTTTTAAATTCTTTTCTAAAAGTAATTTATCTCCTAAGTGGTGACAAGTCAGGTATAAAATCTTTTATGGCTTTTAAGATTAACATTCTATTTTTGGTCACATAATGCTCATGTAAAATATTATGAGACATGGTCTCATTGTGTAGCCCTAATTAGTCTAGAACTCACTATGTAGTTCAAACTGGCCTTGAACTCACAGAGATCCACCTGCCTGGGATTAAAGGCATACACCACTATACCCTGCCTCATGTACAGTATTTTTAAAGATGTCCCTCTAGAAGCATTTTAAAATTTTTTGTTAAATCATTAAATACAGGCTGGGGAGGCAGCTAACTCGGTAATATGCTTGCTGTGACCTGAGGACCTGAGTTTGATCCCAGTATTCATATAAAAGCTAGACATGGCCGTGCATGCCAATAATCTGTGCTGGAGAGGCGTGGGGGGTGGGGGGCGTTCTGTCAGCCAAGTCAATGGACGACTTCTATGTTCAGTGAGAGATCCTGGCTCAAAAAATAAGGTAGAGAGTGATAGAGGAAGATAACCAGCGTTGACCTCTTACACACACACTCACTCACATAAGCAAATATAAACATACACAACACCAAAAAAAAAAAAAATGTGTGTGTCATAGAGGTGCCACTTACAAGTTTGAGGGCACAGATTAGTGTAGGAAACGTGAGCTTAGAACCTCCAGAGCTAAGTGGGCTTTGCTTGAGTTCCAAGCTGTACAAGCATCAATATTTGATATCTTATAGGGTTATTTGATACTTACGACTTTTAAGAGCCATCACTTCAAGTTTGCATCAGTCATTGAAATGTTCCCTTCTATTTGAAGAACCATTGGTAGAAAGCTCTTGGAAAATTTGTATAATGAAACATACAGAACATTGTGAGCTTAGTGACTGCACCCAAGTAAGTGAATGAACTGAGGACAGTTGTAGGAATGTGGACTGCTACCCAAAAGGAAGTTCAGTGCTGGGAATCACGGTCGGTCGTAACTAACAGTAGACATGATAATGGTGTTGTGTGCAGACTGAGGAAGTAAAGAATGCCATGTTTGGTTATTGCATCCCCTGGAGAAAGAACAAAATGAAAAATAGCACTACCTAGACTCAGATGGAAGCTGTTTTCCAAGAAGCAGATTTGGGGGGGAGGATTGTTTTTCGATAAATTTAAATAGAGAAATTTCATCCTTTATCTTCCCATTCACAAATGAAATAGGTACCAGGAAGATGACTCAATGGCTAAAGCCCTTGCCAGAGTTCCTATCCCTGGAGCCTTCATAAATGCCAGGTGGGCATGGTAGCCCACCTGTGATTCCAGCCTCAGAAAGCAGGGACAGTGGATCCCCAGCAAGCTGGTCATCAAGACTAGTCATAGCAGTGAGCTCTGCTTTTGATTGAGAGTTCCTGGCTCAATGAACAGGTAGAAGAATGGTCATGGATGATTCTTAACATCAACTCAGACCTCCATATGTACATATGCATTCATGTGTGTGCTTGCATACACATACATGAAAATAAAAAAAGAATGGCATAAACTAGGCCATATAAGATACACTATTAAAATTTTTTGTAGTTATGAATTCATAAGTAACATGCATAAATATTCATTTTTATTGAGTTGAAAATTGAAATATATTGTAATAATTTGAAGTAATACCAAATATCTTAACATAATAGCAACTTAGGATTGGAAACATATCTCAGTAGTAGAGTCTTGCCTAGCATGTGTTAGGCCCTAAGTTTACTCCTCAACACTGCAACAATCATAAGAACAGCAACCTTAGTTCTGTCTTTTGTCTAAGACTATAGTAAAATTTTAATTAAGTACAATGGATTGTATCGTGACTATCTACACTTACTCAGAAATGAAGTGTCTTTGTTTCATTTTATACTTGATACGGAGTCTTCGGATGCAGCCCAGGCTGGCCTTGAGCTCACAGCAATCCTCCTGCCTTAGCTACCTGGGACTGAAGTATAGGTGGGCTACCACACTCACCAAGCATTTTTTCTAGCCTAACATTAACAAAGAAAACTTGTCTTTAAAAGATACCTTGATACATTTAACAATGTTGCCCTGGTTGCCCCATCATTGGTGAACTGCACAAAATGAGTTCCTATGCAGTATTTAACTGGTTAACTAGCAAATGTATTTTGAACTCCTACTGTCTGTCCAGGACTGTTCTCAGTGAGTATGCAGGCGCCCGTCTTCAGAGAGACAGCCTAGTAGGAGAGGAAGACAATAAATAAACAAATGTGTATCCTAACTCCAAGGAGAAATGTGGTGTGTAGCTGGCAACATGGATTTCGAGTTTGGAGGAAGGTTGAAGTTGGGGTGTACATGTATAGCCCCTCACCTTTGGAGGGTATTTGAAACCCTGGGTCTAGTTGCATTGACCGGTGGCAGCAGCAGATGATTTGGTTCCTGGGGCGCATTGGTGGTGTCTGTATGTAACTTTGTCGTGATTAGGAGATGGAGGAAGTCCTTGGCACCCAGTGTGTAGAGCCCGGGACGCTCCTGAGCATTCACTGTGCGCAGCAGTGAAGAAGCAGTGAAGTTGTCCGTTCCACAATTAGGACTCAGACTGAGAAACCATAACCTAGAGAGCAGAGGGCAGAGGGCTAGGGCCTGAGCCTGGAGCACCGCAGCCCCCGGAAAGCAAACTGAGGAGAAAGAAATGAGCCCTCAGTGAGGTAAATGCCAGAAGGGAACTTGTGCTGTCCTCAAAGCCAGGTTTCCAGGACAAACGAGCCACTGAACCATACAGAACCTGACATGGTTGTGTGTGCCTGTCATCCCAGCTCGGGAGAAGTGGAGGCAGGAGAATCAGAAGTTCAAGATCATGTTCAGTTGCATAGAAAGTTCAAGGTCAGCCTGGGCTACGGGAGACCTGGTCTCCAAAACAAAAGAACTAAAGCATTCCATGTTTCTAGAACAGCATTCCTCCACCAGCCTTCATCACATATTTTCCTATATCTGTCAGCTTTTGGTGCCCATGATAAAGTATGTATGTGTGTGCACATGTGCCCAGGGAGGCCAGAAGTGGGAGTCAGACCCTCTGGAGCTGGAGTTACAAGAGGTCATAAGCTGCTGGTGGTGGTGGGTTCTGAGAACCAAATCCAGGACCTCTGGAAAGCACCAAGGGCTCTAAATGGCTGAGCCGTCTGTCTAGCCTCTCCTCTGTCTCTTGACAGTAAACCAGCCACACCTGGT